GGCATCCTTCCCTCCAAGAACTCCCCACCTTGCTCTTGGGGTGACTCGAACTCACAACCTTTTAGTTGGAAGTGAAGGGTGCTTACTATTAGAGCAACCCACATTGAGCTTTCCCATGGTTTAACTCCAAAAACAACTTCGATTTAATTAATCCAAATGCAAGACAAAATTCCACGTGATTAAACATATTAAAGAATAAAAAATAGACATTGAGATACCCTGCAACACACAAGACAGTAGGTATGACCATATGAATTAGATATTAATATAAACCATGGGAAATTCTTTGTATATGCCATGCTATTACTCCCTAAACAACAAAAGGATGTTCCACCAACAACAGACACAAAAACTTCAATTAATTAGCTATTTTATTAAGGTCATCAATTGAGTGATTTACACTCAGGTCATCGGCTGAGTTACATAACTTCACTCTCTCTACATGAAAACTATACCTAGGTTCACGTTAGGTCTCTATTTTTCCCTCTTCTGAATTGGAATCAAGACTGACATTAACAATAACAACAACAATAGCAATAAAAAATTTAATTAATTCCCACAAGTAGTGCTTGGAGACGGTAAAATATACGTAGCCTTACTCCTATTTTGGGAGGGGAAGACGACATTCTTAATATTATTTAGTCCATCCAAGACAACATTCCATGCAATTAAACATAGTCAAGAATCAACATTCAAGTATGCATAACATGTACTATAACATAGGCGGAGGATTACAATAACGACTCTCAATTATTATTTTTAATTTTAACAATGACCGAGTAAAATCTCATTAACATAAGCCTTGAGATTTACATTAGATGAACCATTTTCATTCATAGCTTCCTTAGCTAAATCCTTCCATTTCTTGGCATTCCCTCTAAGCTCCTCCCTTTTCTCTCCTTCCATCACGATTTCTATACACCGCTTAAACTCATCTCTTTCGACGAGACCTTCTTCATTGGCATTCACTCTGACGCCAGTCTTCCAAACATCTTGAATGAGCTTAGCGTTACAACCTTGATCTGTCCACAACGGACATGCCACGACTGGGATTCCAGAAGATAAGCTTTCTAAAGTCGAATTCCATCCACAATGTGTCAAGAAACAACCCAAAGAAGGGTGTTGTAAAACTTCCACTTGTGAACACCAAGACACTATTTTCCCCTTCTTTTCCAATTCCTCTTTACAACTCAATTTCCCCCCTAGATTTTCCCCTTCTTTTCCTTCCCTAATCACCCACAAAAATGGTCTTCCACATTTTACTAATCCTTGAGCTATTTCTTCCATCAATTGACTTGATATCTCAGAATAGCTACCAAATGCTATGTAAATAACTGACTCTTTAGTCCTTGTATCCAACCACTCCATGTAATTTTCCGAACTTCGTCTCAAATCAGCTCCAAATGAATTATCAGACGGATCTTTTCCATCAAGAAAAGCCGAAGGAATTGAAGGGCCAATTCCAACCATTGTTAAATTTTTCAAAACCCTCAAAGCATTAGGTTCCAAAGCATCAAAAGTATTCACAAGTATTCTTGGATTTTCTTCATTATTCAATAGCTCAATTTGATCTATGATAGATTTAACTCCCCAACCATAACTAGAATTCACGTCAATGAACACAAACGAAGGAAAATCGCGACGACTAAGCTGAGGCAATCCTGGAAGCTCTACAACTTGATCTTGAGAACAATTCTTGAAATAATCAACATAATTAGATCCCACTTGTAAAAATATACTGGGTATGTTGTTATTATAATCGGTGAAACAATAATAATAAATATCGAAAACTGTAGCTGGTTGGATCCAAAAAAGTGTGGACGGGACATTAATGTTCTTGGCCACTAAACCTACCCAAGCCATAAGGGTCGTGTAAATAATACGCGTGAAAGGGCGGCCCTCGGCCGTCCTGAATGTAACGAGTCTGGTCACGAATTCGGATCCGTGACTAATCAAAGAAGAATAAAATGAATGCAACTCATCTACTGATCCTTTAAATTTTCCATCATAGCCATCAGAGAAAGGAGCAAAGGTTAATCCTTCTATAGTTGGGAGATTGTTTATGCGATTGAAAGCTGTTAGGCTTGTGGAAAAAGTGACTTTCACTCCTAAGTTAACTAAACGTTTAGAAAATTGAAGAGATGGATTTATATGACCTTGTCCTGGAAATGTTACAAGAAGAACATGGCATTCATTCTTCAAATTTTCCATATTTGTTTTGGTGTAAGATAGAATTTTAATTTCTAGTAGAATTGTTTGCATTTGTCTAAGGTTTTAATGAGAGTTTATATAAGAGAAAAATCTTGAAATGGAGAAAGACTAATGACGTTTGCGGTGACAACATGAATTTTATACAAATCATTTTCTTCGATATTTTCGAAGAAATGTAGCCACCAATTCATATAGGATAATAATTCTTGTAGAAACAACAAGAAGTTGCCAGGAAATATGTCACAACAGTTTGCCTTTTAGACAATGATAGCCATGAAAAGGTTGTACATGATACACTTATTATTAATTTGGAGAGTCAAACGAGTTTTTTTTATCACGGTTTTTTGAATATTTTTGAAATTTTCTAAATTGTTATATTTTACTTCGTTCTAAATTTTCTTTCAAAAATTTAAACATTTTATGTCTGAATTAATACCAAAAATTAATTAATTTACTCATCATACGCTGATCAATGTTACATAAAATAGATCGAAGAGACTAGTATTTATACCAGGATTGTGAAAGACTAGACAAAAACAATTACAATAATTAGCCAATTTCTTCCATTTCTTGGCATTCTTTCTGAGCTCCTCCCTTTGCTCTCCTTCTTCCATCACGATCTTTATACACCGTTCGAACTCGTCTCTTTCAATGATACCTTCTTCATTGGCGTCCACTCGAACGCTAGTGTTCCAAATTTCTGGCACTACAAAATATAGAAATGTGTCATACTTTTTTGAACGAGTTAATAAGAAAAAAGTATCATATAAATCCAAATGCTAGCGTTGCAACTCTGATCCATCCACAAAGGACATGCGATAAGTTTTTCAAAGTCGAATTTCATCCACAGTGACTCAAGAAACAAGATAAAGATTGGTGCTTTAGGACTTCCGCTAGTGAGCACCAAGACACTACTTTTCCTTGTTTTTTCCAATTCATCTTTGCACCTCAACTTTTCCTCTAGTTTTTCCCCTTGTTTTCCTTCCCTAATCACTCTAATAAAAATGCTATGTAAATAACAGATTCATTAATCCTTGTATCCACTGTTTAAAGAAAGATAAATATTTTTTGGGTGTTGAAATGTTTTTAAAAAATGTTCCCTTTCATTTATTGTTTAGGCTTTCACGTGAAATTGAATATTGAGCTATAATACGAACCCAATTCCTCTGTACATGTCACGATCTAAAATCTCAACTTAGGCGTCGTGATGACACTTAATCTCTAAGACTAGGTAAGCCGATTATAATTTTATTTCAAGCTATTTTTTATTTTATTTTTTATTTTATAGAACTTAACACAAGTGTCGAAACCAAAAGCAGAAACAAATATAACAACCTCCCAATACTGGTAATACTGAATCACGAACTCTAACTGAATACATAGATTGATCTTGAGGACTGAATATACAATACTGCTCGAATGAGAAATTAACAGTACAATAAAATGAAAAGACTCCAAAGGACTGCGACGACCAAGCAACTCTACCCTAAGTCCTTGCGATCACACTCTAAGTTTGTCCGAGTCTGATATATCCAATACCCGACTCTGCACAAAAATGTGCAGAAGTGTAGTATGAGTACACCACAGTCGATACCCAGTAAAAGTATCAAGACTAACCTCGGTGTAGTAGTGACGAGGTACAGTCAAGACACTCACTAGTCTAGTATACAAAAATAATGGAAAATAAATGACAGTGATAGCAACAATAATCAACTAGTGATGTAAACAACAAGGCAGCAAGAACATCATAATTATTACTCAAAAGAATAAGAAACACAAGTACAACCAATTAAACAAGTCCTTCAAATATAAATCTTTCACATATAATTCTTTCGAATAAATACCTTCCGAATATATTTCTTTCGAATAAATACCTTCCGAATATATTTCTTTCGAATAAATATCATTTGAATATAAAACTCTTTCGGATAGAAATCTTGCAAATGTATTCCTTTCCAATAAATATCTTTTGAGTATAAAACTCTTTCAAATAAATATCTTTCGAATTACTTCTTTCAAATAAATATCTTTTGAATATAATTCCTTCGAATGAAAGTCACTATGTGACACCTCGTTTCATAATCATAAAATACGGGTCTCAGCCCACTTTCATATTTTCACTGCACTTCGTGTCCATATTTCTGTCAATACCGCACGGACAACTCACGTGCCAATAATAAAAATCATTATATTTCTCTGGCACCTCGTGCCCACATTTCATATCACATCTGCACGGACAGTTCACGTGCCAATAACATAATCTGTCCGGCAATAGCCACAGGCTCACAATTTCACACATGAATCAGACTATTATCAAGTTACCAACAACAAGACAAGTTCCACAAGAGATAAAAATAAATACCGAGAAAAATCACAACATCATATAAAAATCACCAACAAAATAATCACACATCATCATGTATCATCCCTGACAATAGCCACCTTTATCTCTCCTATAGCCACCCATATCACTCCATAATAATAGCCACCCTTATCCCTCCGTCCTGACAATATCGCTCCTATAGCCACCTTTATCGCTCTTATTAATAGTCACCCTTATCACTCCGCCCAGATAATATCCCAACACACATAACCACGGTAAAATATCACCCTTATACCCATATAATATCAACAGTGGAATGCCACCCTTATATCCTCATAATAATAACTCAATTCACACAACAATTTACATGGGATATTATCACGACAACACAATACAACAATTCATATCACAATTTGCCCGTAGGCCACAACCAATTCTAAGGACACAATAAATTCACTTAAATTCATAACAAGTAGACCAAGGCTCCACATAATGTACACAAAACCTCAAAAAATAACAACTGAGATGGAAAAATAACTCAGCATAGGGCAACGCCTTCATTAATCCAAATTCTTGATAATTATATTAATGCCTCAATTTAAACTTATTTAATTAATTATTTGCAGATGGAAAATCCATAATATAATTATTTTCAAGAAATATTAAATCAACAAACTCACGAAATTCACATAAAAATTCAAGTGACAATCACACCAAATTATCATATAAAAAAATATTTGACAAACAAGGATCGAGGCATGGCAAATAGAGGATTTAATAAATACCAACAATTATCCAATTTACTACACAAAAATGCCTAAGACTTTAACCCAATAAATTTTGCACATATAAGCCCGAGTACGTACTCGTCCCTCGCGTACATGGCTTTTCACATTTCACAAATGGCACATAAGACTCGATGCCTAAGGGGTAATTTCCCCACTAAAGGTTAGGCAAGATACATACCTTTGTGAAGTTATGCCGATATTTTAAAATAGCCGTCTTGCTTGAATATATCCTCCGGACAGTCAAATCTATTCAAATTAATTGTATAACTTCATTAAAATTCATCGGAACCAATTCTGGATAATAAAACGTCGACTTAAAATTTCACATTAAAACATCAACCAAAGTCAACACGGGGCCCGCCTTTCAGAACCCGACAGAATTTTTACGAAATCCTAACACCCATTCCGATACGAGTTCAACCATACCAATTTTATCAAATTCCGATAACAACTCGACCTCCAAATCTTAAATTTTCGTTCTTGAAGAGATTTTGCAAAAATTCCAATTTCTTCCATTTAAATTCGAATTAAATGATGAATATAATCATGAGTTTATGAAATATAATTACTTTCAGATATATAATACTTACCCAAGTCGAAATCGTGAAGAACTCCTCAAAAATAGCCCCAAAACCGAACTCAAAAAATCCAATCGAAAATGGCGAAATGACCATTTTTGGTCCTTTATGTTTCTGCCTAGTTCCGTTTCTGCGGACAGATTTGCGCATCTGCGGCCTTGCTTTTGCGAGCCAAAATGCGCATCTGCGAAGTCCCAATGTCCACTGCCCAACAGGAGCTCACCTCTGCAGAAGAAAATGTGCATCTGGGATGTCGCTTCTGCGACAAAATGATCGCTTCTGCGAAGCCATGTCCAACAGCCTCATTCCGCTTCTGCGTTCCAGTGGTCGCTTCTGCGATCACGCAGGTGCACAAAATGCATCGCACCTGCGACGTCTGTCTAGTACCTCTTCCCAGTCGCTTTTGCGAGCTCAACCTCGCTTCTGCGATGAAGCTTTCGCAGAAGCTAAAACACCAGCTGCTGCCCAGAAATTTCAGCAGCTTTCTTCAAGTCCAAATGGATCCGTTAACTACCCGAAATCCACCCGAGGCCCTCGGGACCTCAATCAATTTTACCAACATATCTCAAAATACAATACCAAATTAGTCGAGGCTTCAAACTACGTCAAACAATGCCGAAATAACGAATCGCGCATCGAATCGAATTATGAATTTTCAAATCTTCCAACTTCTATATTTTGCGCCGAAACGTATCAAATCAATCCGGAATGACTTTAAATTTTGTACACGAGTCATAAATGATATAATGGATCTGTTTCAATTTACGGAATTGTAATCCGGCCTCGTTATCCAACAATCGACTTACGGCCAAATTTATGAATATTTCAAAAACTTTATTTTTCAACTTTTCGCCGAAATGTGCCGAATTGTCCTACGGACTTTCAAATCAAATTTCGGAGATACGCCTAAGTCCAAAATTACCATACGAAACTATTGACATCATCAAAATTCTATTCCAAAGCCGTTTGCTCAAAAGTCAACTCTCCGGTCAACTCTTTTCATTTTAGCTTCTAAAATAAAAATTGTTCTTTCAATTTAATTCCGAATCTTTCGAAAACCGAACTCGACAATACACGCAAGTCATAATACATATTACGAAGTTGCTCGAGACTTTATGTCGCTGAGCGGGGCGTAAATTCTTAAAATAATAAGTCGGGTTGTTACAGTACTCTGTCTAGACTCTAGACACATATGATGAAGCCCATATGGCGTACAACAAGATGGGATTTTTATACAAATAGTTATCCGAATTCACTGTTTACTCTTTATAATTGTTATACAGAGATTATAGACTAATTATATATGATTATACATATATTATATATGAATTATACATACATTATATATGAACGACTAT